TATGTGTGTTAGCATATGGTATTTGTTTTTCTCTTTCTGACTTACTGCACTCTGTATGACAGACTCTAGGTCCATCCACCTCACTGCTCAATTTCGTTTCTTTTTATGGCTGAGTAATATTCCATTGTATATATGTGCCACATCTTCTTTATCCATTCATCAGTCTATGGGCACTTAGGTTGCTGCCATGTCCTGGCTATTGTAAGTAGTGCTACAACGATCATTGTGGTACATGACTCTTTTTGAATTATGGAAACCCCGGACATTTAAGGGTGATTTCTTGAATGTGTTTCTTTGATACCCAACTCCGCAAAGCCCTAGAGAAGGCACGTGCCGAGTTTTCTGTGTGCACGTTCAGACCTGTCTTTTAACACCTAATACAGCCATAGTTAACACTGGGGACCTCGGCCAGTGTTTCTACAGGAGGCTGGCAGATGACCTTTGAGAAGCTAAATTTTAGGAGGGGAACACTGATTTGGATGCAGCCCCTTGAGGCCAGGCTGCAGAGTGATCTCTCTAAACAGCTCCTATGTGTGATATGGAGTGAGACCTCCACATGTCTGGTCTCTGCTCCATTGCCTTGTTGTATGGGGGCCCTGGGAGCTGGGAGCGGTGGGCTTTGTCAGCTGTTCTCCCTTTGTTGTAAGCTTCATTGTTCAGTTTAATGTCCTTGATCAAAATCTCTGAATTTGCAAGGCCTGGGGACATATACAAACTGCCTGAGAAATTAAAACTGGGATCATTTTGTCCGTCTTCCTGACAGTACAGGCTCCTGTCTCCAGCAAGGTGATCCCAAGGGTCCCTTCCAGGTACTAGAAGAAGTCACAGGGACTAGGAGGCCATTTGCATGTGATTTGCATGCATTTACATAAGCCTGCAAGATCCCTGTTAAGTCTGAGCAGAGGTGATTTTCAAGGGCTGGATTCTTATTACCTTTCCCTTGAAGACAGTCACCCCTAACAGGGCCCTTTTTTATTGGGTGTATATAGGGAAGCAGGTCATTGACGGTAGGAAGGAGATCCTAGCTAAAAAGGAATGAGTCCATTAAAAAAAAGCTCTTTATTCTTTCAGTTCCTTTAGAGCAAAACTAAGTAAATATATGGAGCACTGACTATTTGCCAAACAGTTTGAGATGCTGGGAATTCACATCGGGCAGCAGTCAGTCCCGCTCACTTCACCATTAATTTTAATGAAGGAGAAAGTTTATAAAAACAATTAAGAACAAGCAACAAAAGAGAAAAGATAAATCCAGGTGGTGTTAACCGCTATGCAGAAAACAAAACTGGGAATTGAATCAGGGGACAGCTGTAAGAGTAGGGAAGGAAGAGGCATTAAACAGCCTGCCCTGGGGAGACAATGGAGACCTAAATAATATCAGGTCAACTTTTGAGGAATGAGCAGAGTTCTCCAAGCAGAGCGAGCAGTGGATACAATCCAGAATGGTCTAGATTGGTCTAGAAGGATCTTAAGTTGTTTTGAAAAGATGAAAAAGGCCAGTGTCACCACAGTTTGGAGAAAAGGGAACAGTGGTACAAAACAAATGGACCAGGGTTAGATTGTGTGGGCTTGTAGGCCAAGGTAAAGAATTTGTGTTCTAGGGCTTCCCTGGTGACGCAGTGGTTGAGAATCCACCTGCCAAGGCAGGGGACACGGGTTCAGTCCCTGGTCCGGGAAGATCCCATGTGCCACGGAGCAACTAAGCCTGCGAGCCACAACTACTGAGCCTGCATGCTGCAACTACTGAAGCCTGCATGCCTAGAGCCCATGCTCCGCAACAGGAGAGGCCACCACAATGAGAAGCCCATGCACCTCAACGAAGAGTAGCCCCTGCTCGCCGCAACTAGAGAGAGCCCACGCGTAGCAACAAAGACCCAACACAGCCAAAAATAAATAAATTAAATAAATTAATTAAAAAAAAAAAAGAATTTGTGTTCTAAGTGCAGCAGGAAGCTATTGAATTCTGAGTAGCAGGATGACGTGTCTGATTTACTTTTAAAAATTGGTTTGGCCACTAGGAAAAGAGGAAGAGAAGATGGTGAGAGTTAGGACTTTGTTGCCATGGACTTGTCCAGCTAAGAAATAGAAATGTCTTGGGCCGGGATGGTGGCATATTGGTGAGGGAGGGAAGTGGAGAGAGTGGAAACATCTTTTCAAAGTCTAACCAACAGGATTTTCTAATGGATGGTACATGGGATATGAGGGTAAGGGAAGCATCAAGGCATTATTTATCAAGAATTTTATTTTGAGGAACCAAGTGGATGGAGATGCCATTTGCTGAAGGGGGGAAGACTTGGTGAGGAATCTGCTTCAGGGGAGGAGGGAGATGAGAAGTTGAATTTTCGTGCCTGTGGTGTGGTTCAGAAAAGCCTTTGTTTTTCCTGCAGTGGGAATAGAGCAGCCTTATTTAGGAGAAAAGACCAGTGATGGGAAGAAGGGAAAACCTGCACTGATGTCCCCATGGCTACATGAGCAGAGTTTCATTTCATTTTGCTGCTCACAGATCCCAGCTGACTTATTGTAGAGGAGACCTTATCAATTACCTGTGTCTCAATTAATACTTGCAAATGTGAGATGGCATAGACCTTCTGAGGAGGGAGAGTATCGTTTTGCTTCTGTTATGTTTATATTGAATGGAAGTTTTCTGGGGAGACTTGGTAAACTGGTAGATCATTGGTAGATAGTTAGAAAGTGGCGTTAAGTAGCATGCCCTAAGAAGACATCAGGTCAGCTTTGTCGAGAGCTGAGAGATTGATTGATTAGTCAAAAGATAGATAGATAATAAATAAAGAGAGAGGGATGATAGAGATGGATGGATGGATGGGTGGATGATAGATATAGATAGATAGATAGATGATAGATAAATAGATACATAGATAGAGTTTTCTTAGCCCAAGGAAATGAGGAAGATAAATGTAGATGAGAGAAACAGGATTTCTAGACAGTCTTAGACACCTCTGAGAAATCTGTTTCTTTGAGAAAAATGAAAGACTATTGGCCTAACTTACAATCTTTGAGAGTTACATCAAAGTTAATCAGTGGATCCACATTCAGTGAATGGTGTGTCCCAGCCTCGTGTGCAAAAGGAATCATTTAAGGGAGTTAATAAGAATACATAAAAGAAACAATGGTTTCAAAAAGACCCTGTCTCCACTACCAGTAAAAGGTAGGGGCATAAGCAGGATGTAAGATGGAGGACAGAGGGAAGAATAAGGGTAATAAATTCATAACTTAATTATTCACTTAATATGGCTACGTATAGATTTCTTTCACAAACTCTAGATTTCTGTGAAAAACTAGCAAGAGAAAATTAAATATGTCCAGATAACCCTGAAGCTTTATTTGCAGCCAGTTTGCTCTATTTTCTCTTTGATTCCAAATGACTTAAAATGTGGACATGTCCTCAGAAATTGAGTATTTTCTTTTTTAGGAAGCAGTGAATTTCAGTTGGTCAAATTGAAGTCATTTTCCATGTTTATAAAGCACGTATTCTGAAATGATCGGGGTAATTTTTGTTTTTATACCACTATAGGAGTTTCTGTAAGATAAGATGTGTTTAATATAGGAGAGGAAGGTGACAGTATGGAGTCTCAGAGCCCCTGGGACAATGCGTCTCAGAATTTCATGTCTCGTTCTCTGGGTCTAAAATTGCAGCCAGGAGTTTCCCATTAATATGCCTCCCAAGTAATCCAAGGATAACCCTTTGGAAAACCCTATCCTAAGGTCACCCTGCGTGCTGTAAACCAGCTAGTTTATTCAAATTGGAACGGAAAGTTTCTAGAAACAAAACATTCTTGGAAAGTTCTAGGAAGTTCTTAGGTCCATCCAGGGGCCAATCTATTGCAATATAGTGCCTCTGTCTTCCTTAGTGGATCAGTAGGCTGTGGTCACCTCTCAGCTGTTCTTCCAGCCTCATCACTTAGACCAGGCAATAGGATGGCACACCCTCTCCCTCTGGGAAGAGGTCAGAGAGTACTTGTCACAAATACCTTCTCTCACATCACAACTCTCACCATTGCCTCTTCTCAGGAGCATTTAGTAGAGGACCTCTGATGTGTGACCTTCACCTCAAAGACACAAGGTTTCCCACACCTGTCTTCTGTCTTTTGGCAAGTCTGTAACGGATGCTTTTACAAAGACTTACCAGCAGGAGCAGGAAATGATCACCAAACCCTAAAACATGATCATTTTTTGAGGTTGTTTCCTAAGTAGTGCCCAGTGGGTGTGTAATGAGGGTAGCTTGATTTGCAAATATTCTTGTTTGCTCTTTTCTTGAGTAAAAGTTTCTAAAGGGCCAGGATTCATTTTACAGAAAACGCACCATGTGGAACGTTTGGAACATTACAGGATTCTGTTAATCCTATATACAGGTTATTTGAAAGTTACCTTAGATATCACACGCTTATTAAGAATTTTTATGGTTCTTGAATTCTTTGAAATGTATTCCACACAATCTCTAGTGGATAAATGTCATTTTCTTTGGGATTTAAAAAGCACTTTGGAATTCTATAGAGTCCCTGGGTCACAATTAGGAATGACGATTTTCAGAATATGTTTCTGCAAAGAATTCTGTTCGTGAGATCTTCCAAAACTTTGCGAACTTAATACAAAGGGATGTATTACAAAGGGATGAACTTAATACAAAGGAATATCTAGCAGTGATCCATGAAAGAAGACCAAAAAATTTAAATTATTATAGGGGCTCCAGAAAATATTGATATGGGATGAAATGAATTATCACATCCTTTTCAAAAGGTTCATCTGTAGCTGGTCAGTAGTTTCCGTGCTATTAACTTGTATTGGCAGAAAATCAAAAAAGGGCATAAATCTATTTTTCCTATGTATAGTTTTCAAGTATTCTTTATGCCTGCCCAAACTATACATCCTCTTAATTTTAAAATTAAAAAAAAAATACACCAACCCATTTGACTTGTAGTTAATTTGCAATGATAGGAGTTGTTGAATCAAATGTGATGATAACATTTTTGTGTATTTGTTTTAAGGCTGGAAATTGAATCCAGTTGTGGGTGCAGTGTACAGTCCCGAATTCTATGCAGGTAAAGAGTTTTCTCTTTGCATGATGTCTTCTTGGTCTTTTCTAAATGTGCTTTGCCTGCCCATAAAGAATGGGTTTATAAAATAATCTGAACTGATAAATTCCTATCCTAGCAAGTTTTGAATGATTTTTTTTTAAGGCAAAACCAAAAGTGTTTAAAAGCTTTTGAAAAATAAAGGGGAATCATGTAAGTTACATTGTGGCATAAGCATGGAGCCGTGGCTCCTTGTGACATTTCACACTGATTTTGCCTCAAAAAAAGCCCTGAGATTTTGTTCAAGAGATTTGAACAAATGGACAGCTGCTCATGCCTGTTTTCTTTCAATGTGCCTGAACGTGTTTTTCAGCCATACGTTTCCATTTGGAATTGCATTTTTTATTCCCTTGGCAAAGCAGAGAGTTGGCTTAATTATCCCAATAATGTGCCAGTATTTTGGAACTGCAAAGAGAAGGATTATTTAGAAAACTAGGAAAGCTAAGTTATCCTTCTTTTTCCATTAATCAATTTCCCTTAGCAATTCCCTTTCTCTCTGCTTTGCCTTCAAGGGTATATAGCTTTCTCCTCATCCCTTCCCAGCCACCCAACTGCCACTCAAATCCACTGTCCCAGAAAACTTGGTCATCAGATCTGGGGAGAGAGTAACCCAGAAGCAACAGCAGCTGAGCTTTTTTGCTCAGCATAGCCTGTTACTTCTACCTGTTACTTCCCTGCTCATGAACAAGGCTGCATTGAACACCTGAGAAACTTAGTAGATTTGCCACATCGATGTTGAAAAGAAGTCTTGCTTTGATGTGGCCCTTGCTTTTTAATAAGGAGAAATCAATGACCCGTTCCATTGGTTTAGATCCACTCATTTTGTAATCTCTTGACGGTAAGTCACACCCCTTGCTTTGTCTCCTCTGAGATGCCCTACGTCAGTCACTTTCCCGAAACGAAACATTGACCCTAGTGGATGACAAAGGAACATAGGAAACTTAGACAGCTACTCTAGCACAAAAACCAACTTGATTTTAAAAGATGGTAAACCTTGGAAGGCCCAATGTGATAGCTGAGTTCTGGATTTTAGGTAGGCAATATTTGTAGTTGTTCTTCATGTGTGAATTTTATTACAAGCCTGGGTTACGACCAGGGATTCTAATAGTGAAGCAATTGTGTTGACTCTTACTGGGGAGGCAAGACCTATAGCCATAGGCTTTCCATGGCTATGTGGTGGGGTCCGCTTCCTGAGGGGACACATAGAGTGAGGAACGTGGACGTTACTATCAGGCGGCCCAGGATGGAATCCTGGTTTCTCTACTTGCCAGCTGTGTGATTCTAGGCGAGTTACTTAACCTCTCTGTGCCTCAGCATCTTCATCTGTTACATGGGAGATGATAGTAGTAACAAACTCACAGGTATTTATAAGAATTACATGGGTTAATATCTGAAGAGTGTTTGGTGCATAGCAGCACCATATGAATGTCGAGGAAATAGAAATAAATAAGTTAATGTTCCACCTCTCTGCCATAAGGGGAAAGTTAACTGAGAGCTGATTCTGCTGAATTTTGAGTGTACCACTAGACTGAAAGGTTCTAATTCATGAGAGGACTAGTCCTTCAGTGCTCAGCTTATCCATTCAGGGGGCACAGATATTGCTGGGATACATCTTTGTCCAAAGCTTCAGAGAAATGAAATCCCCCAAAAGGGCAAGGAGGAAGTTGGAAAGCAGCTTCTGTGTATCTGCTGGCAGTGCTGGGTGAAATGGAGTCTCTGGAATAAACAGGTGGCAGATTCTGCGTGTGTGTGTGTGTGTGTGTGTGTGTGTGTGTGTGTGTGTGTGTGTCCCCGTGTCTGTGCACGTGCCTATGTGCATGTTTTTTCTCCCCCAAAATAATGAGATCAAGAACAAGAAGCAAGAAACCATTCAATGAGGAGGTAGGGTATGAATGTGTGAATTGTAACAGAGAGAGGAAAGTACATTTTTCCAGCCCTACGCAATGTAGTTGCTGGTCACCTTTGGCTCAAGCAACCAGGAAAACACCAAATATGTACTTTCCAATGATTTCAAACCTCTGTGCATATCTGTGGGTGTTTAAGAGGCCATTAAGACAGAAGAAACAATTCAGAATGACTTAAACGTACGAGAATAAATGAATCTGCATAACTTTTAGAACATTAGAGCAGCCATTCACATGAGCCCTGGGCCCAGCCTCAAAAGTTAGATCATTGGGTCTTCCCTGGTGGCGCAGTGGTTGAGAGTCCGCCTGCCGATGCAGGGGACACAGGTTCG